TGCAGACGAGATAAACTGGACCCCATCCCCCATCACATACAAAAATCAACTCGAGATGTATTAAAGACTTCAATGTAAGACCTGAAACAATAAAAATATTAGAAGAAAACCTAGGGAAAACTTTTTCTGAACATTGGTCAAGGCAAAGAATTCAAGACTAATACTTCAAAAGTATGCCACAAAAACAAAAATAGATAAATGGAGCTTAATTAAACTAACAAGCTTCTGCACAACAAAAGAAATAATTAACCAAGTAAACAGACAACCTGAAGAATGGGAGTAAGCCATATCAAATAATCATTTCATGTTAAAAATGGTTGAACATTAACTATATAACAATAGCAACCTAATAATAAATACAATAAAAATTTACTGAGTTTTCACAGTGGTACAGCTGGCATACTTTCTTTAATCTGATACTCTCAACAATTCTGAAGTAACGCTATTTTATCATTTCACCTTTTCGTACACTGAGGCTCAAAGGAGCTGAATAATGTGTTCATGATCACATAGCTAATGAATGATGAAGCCTATACTAGAGCAGTAGTAATGTAATATGACTCTGGAATCTACACTCTTAATTGCTATACAATTTTGTTTTTAGAAGTGTGATTATTTGGATTATTGTGAGGAAGTGATGTCTTGCAGAGGAGAGAAGAGCTAAAGACAATGTTTCATGTAGAGAATCTGAATATCAACTTAAAAGAGATGCTAGAGATTTCTAAACATAAAACAATCAATATTGATACAATTACTTTTCATTGGTTTCTATAGATATTTTTTTCTTCAGTCCCATAAATCATATATAACTGTTGTAAAACATTTGAAAAATAGACTTCTTCCCAGTGACTGTGGGAATATGGACAGTGGTATGCTGTTAATTGTTTAATGATCTCAGCTGAGATTGGGAGTGGTAGTTTCTGATTTGCCAATTTTCATGGTGTAAATATTTCTAAGCATGATTGCTTTCAACTTACCAATAGTTTAACAACTGGCTTTCAAAATTCCTAAAACCCTGTACCATATTCTAGCACTTTCATAATTTGACTTTCATGTGCAGAACTTTAATCAGTGTGGAATTTCTTATGCATATGGTGTGAGGTAGGTATTTATATCTTTGTATCTAAACAGATGGGACATTGATCAATCCCATTGCTATGGTTTAAATGTTTGCCCCATTAAAACTCGTGTTGGAATTTAATTGCCATTGTGAAGGTATTTGGAGATAGGACCATTATAAAAAGTTTCAGTCATGAAGGTTCCATGCTCATAAATAGACTAACACCATTATCACAGGAGCAAGTCTGTTATCATGGGAATGGGTTAACCCCGTCTTGCTCTTTCTCTCTCTTGCCCTCTGTTGGTCTTTCACCATGTGATGCCTTCTGCCATGTTTTGATGGAGGAGGAAGTCCCTCGCCACTTTGATACTGGATTTTCCAGCCACCAGAACTATTAGCTAATAAATTTCTGTTTATTATAAATTACCCAGTCTCAGGCATTCTATTGTAGCAGCACAAAACAAACTACAGCACACATTTACTAAATAAACTATTACAGAAGAAAAATTTGTCTATACGGGAGACTTTGCTCCTCCCCTGAAGCCTGCAGCACTGGCAACTGTGGTCCTATTGCCTCAGACTGATCTACTCCTTGTACCTGGATAGTATGGTTAGGCTTCCTCATCTTTGCTAGTAAGTTCTCTTTCTAGCCAGTGTCCTTACATGGCCAGTTTGTTATAATTGGCCCTTTAGAACAACACTCTACGATAGAAATATGTCATGAAAAACATTGAGAAATTTAAATTTTCCAATGTCCACATTTTAAAAAGATAAAAAGAAACAGGTGAATTAATTTATACCATATTTTATTCATCCTGTCTCAAAATATTATCATTTAACGTACAATAAATAAATGTATTTGATACTTTCATTCTTTTTTCTATTAAGTCTTTGATGTCTACTGTGTATTTTACACTTACAACACATTTCATTTTGGACTATACCCATTTTGAGCACTCAACAGCCCCATCTGGCTAGTGGCACCATATCAGACAGTGGAGCTCACCCAAGAGACCTGATAATTCTTTTATGCCAGTGGACACTGATTAAAAGTTCTCAATGGAGCCTCCTACTCGTTCAGTAAACTGACAGTTTGTTTTCTTCTTTCCTTGAATGTCTAGGCCTTGAATTCCACTTTCTGTCTCTTGTAACTGACCAAATCTACCTCATCCTTTATGGCTCTGTTTCTATCATTCTCCTTTGGAAGCAATTTCTTACCCTTGTCAAGCTTTCTCTTGCCACATTCTGATTTAAGTTTCACCCTTGAGTTCTTCTTGGTAATGCCACTAGACCTGCAAGCACACCTGCTATGTATGATTTAGTATTGTGTCCAGCCAAAGATTTTGAATTCTTAGAGTGGACTACGTGTTTTATCTCTCCATCTCAGCACCAATCACAGCACCTAGTTGAAACATAAATCTTAAGGTTTGTTAAATGATTCAAAGAACAAATTTTACAATATAGATTTTACAATTTAAAGCCTCCACAATATGTAATAATGTATCCCAAAATAAAAATTTTGTATTTCTTTATAAAGGAGATTTTTAAAGCTTAAATCATTTTCTGACCATAGAAAGTATTGTGAAATATAAGTAGTTTTTCCTTTCCTCCATAATATGATTACATATGTGAATTCAAATATTCATTTTTCCCAACCTGCACCAAACAGGCCACACCTACATGTGTGTACACACACACACACACACACACACACACACATGCACATCTCTAATTTTATCCTGTTTCTGTTAACATTATCATAATTTTCTCATTTCACACAAGCTGAATGTCTCAAAATGTTCCTAAACTGAGAGAATCATATTTCAGATTTTGAAGATATGTAAAGTGTTATCCACTGCTTGCAATACTATAATAACTTCAGAGTAGAGTTCCAGAGAGTGCAGTTAGTCCTCAGATCTGACTCACAAATATTCCAGATGTAAAAGCTAGCCTGCTCTTGGAAGAAACCCCAACTGTCCATCAGTTGGACAGATTCTATCCTGGACATAGCTTTACTCCTGGGTTGATATTGATTATAGGGCTATCTTTCTTGGAGCCAGACATTTTGTGAGGTCACCCAGCTCCAGGAACCTCAGAGAGTCAGGCCTGATGTAATAATCCCTGTTACACGAATGAAACAGGGACAGGTTTCTGCTGATTGTGACACATTTCTACTGAATCCAGAAGACATTCTCTGCTGTAAGATTTAAATGATAGAGTTTGGATGATCTAGAACTAGAGAAAAGTACACTAAAATCAGAACCCAAAAACAGTAAACACTCCACATCAGAAAGTCATCCAGGAAACCAGAACAGGCCCTTTAATTCCATTTTTATGTTTATCACAATCTGAAAGAACTCCATTAAGATACTAGACCTTGCTCTTTTCTAACTGAAAAATGTGTCATCACCCTCATCATACCCAAACTTAAGGAACTTCTCTCCACCTTGGCACTTGCTACTGTCCTTTTTAGTCTTTCTTTACTGCTGGAAATGTTGTATTATGAGCTCAAATGTCAAAACAGAGTCAAAATACTTCCCAGAGCTGTCTCTCCAATACTTCAAACCTTAATCTCCTATCCATTAACCTGTTTTATTCCCTCTATAGCAATTATATGTCCTAATTTATTATAATAAATTTTTGCTTTTTTATTTGTATTTGTGTTTGTTTGTTTTATTTTTGGAGATGGAGCTTCACTCTTGTTTCCCAGGCTAGAGAACAACAGCGCGAACTCGGCTCACTGCAACCTCTGCCTCCCAGGCTCAAGTGATTCTCATGCCTCAGCCTGCCAAGTAGCTGGAATTACAGGCGCCCACCACCATGCCTGGCTAATTTTTGTGTTTTTAGTAGAGATGGGGTTTCACCATGGTGGCCACGCTGGTCTCAAACTCCTGACCTCAAGTGGCCCACCCACCTCAGCCTCCCAAAGTGCAGGGATTAACAAGTGTGAGCCACCGCTCCCAGCCTATTTTTGCTTTTTAAAATCTTCATCTATTAAACTGTAAACACTCTGACAGCAGGACATTTGTCTATAATTTTTCTTCTGTGTCTTTAGTGTCTAGGAGACACCTATTCAATAATATTTAAGTGAATTAAATAACATTTCTCAACCTCCATGCAAGCAAGCAAATATATTTGTACTTTCGTCAGATGTAGATAAATTTGATAGCATATTTTTTCTTCTAACTTACCCTTTTCTTAGGTTTTGATTCCTCATGCCTAACACCTGAGTCTGATTCAAATTTTTCAACAATCCCGGAAATGATCTCTTCGATTGCATTACTTCATTAAGCACTCAGCCTTCATCTCCTCTCTGAGACTTTTGTCATAACATCCTAATAGATGTCACTTCCCTTCCCTTTCCCCCTTCAGCTCCATTCTAGACACTTAGTGCCATTTCCAAAGCACAGTTCTGAAATACTCTGTGATTTGTGCTTGGGTATTTGAGAGCCTGAGCATGTTGCATATGAGAAGCAGGTAGAGAAGACATTATTTATGATCCAAGTATAAGAAGAAATAATTGCATTATATCAAGGAAGTACCTCAGGTTCAGCCAACATACTGTTAGCCCAAATTTCAAGAGATGCCAAAACACCTCAAAAAAGGAATAATTTGCAAGCAAGTACACAAAGATTTTTAGAAACAAAGAACCATTTTTATTGCAAATGATTGACTTCCCCAACTGTAGATGTTATGATCATTAACACAGTCACAACGGAGAATCAGATTAAGGGAGCAAAGGATAACATTTGGAAAACAGTCAGATGATACCAAGGATCCTATGGCCATGATTTCATTCAAAGAAACGTGAGGCTAGAGGCCCAAGACTCTCTCAAGCCTGTAATGTCTTGGATACAGCAATCTTGGAGTACGAATCCTTGAATCAGCATTATCTTTAGAGCGTCATTTTAGAAGCAAATGGTCCTCTGATAGTGATGTTTTAGCAGCAAGAAGAATAGCATCTTCTAAAGTAAAATGGCCGGTAGCCACAGTAGCCAGAGCCAGATCCGTATCCACAGCTAGAGCAGGAGCCGTATCCACAGCCATAGCCAGTTCCATAGCCACAGCCATAACGGGAACCAAATCCACAGCCATACCCACAGCCATAGCCAGTTCCATAGCCACAGCCATAACGGGAACCAAATCCACAGCCATAACCACAGCCATAGCCAGTTCCATAGCCACAGCCGTAGCCACAGGAGTTACCATAGTACTTGCAACACATGTTGTTAAAAGGAGAGGATTCAAATGAGTTTCAAGAAGATGCTTCTGAGGTGTGGATGTCTTCCACTTCCCTGAGACCTTTATATACTGCCAGTAATTGCTAAAGCATATCATTCATTCCCTGACTTAGCCAACAAATATTTAAACAATTATTATTGTGCCAGTCACTGTTGACCATCAATAATGTTTTGCTTAAAATGAGCCAATTATGTTGGAGACTCTGGTTTCATTTGAGGAGGATCGTTTTAATCCACTCTGCCAAAGAACTGTCTCAATGAAATCACGTGCCTGAATGTAAAGCTGATATCAATTTTCAAAATCTCCCTATCGGTAAATATATATCTTAACTAACAAGTTTAGAGGGATGATAACAAAATTTTGGGGTTTCTCTCTCTCTCTCTCTCTTCTGCTAAAACATCTACCTCTACCCACAGAGAAGGAGACACTCCTATCTCCTGGCCTGAGTCATTACAACTTCTTGGCAGGCTTCTTCAACTCACCCTGCACTTTCATGCCTACCCCTTGTCCAACTTCCCTCAAATCCCAAGAAACATATTCACATCTAATCATTCAAAGCCACACTGTGTGCTATCCGCAAGTGCTTCTTATGTTTCCCTTCCATATACCAGGCAAACCAAGACCCTGGTGAGGCAGAGAAGCCCTCCTTTTACTCCCATTTCTTAAGCTACATAAGTAATTGTCATTGAGAAGCCTTTTAAAACCTAACCAGTTTAATTTGGATAAGGAAGCAAAAAAAAATCATTCAACCAGAAACTCAGTTCTTTCCTCCAATACAGATTTCATCAACGTTTTGCATGATGAAATACAGGTACATTCTCAGAATTTAATAAATCATTTTTCATCTCCTTTCACTACTATTCCTTGAACATTTACTTCAGAAGCTAAAGGAAAGTGGACAATTTTAGGTTGCTGACAGCAAAAGCCCACCTTAAACACCTAACACTTCTATGATATAAAGTAACATAAAAATAAATTTTGTCCCCTTTCCATACATGCATTTCATGCTACTCCTTTAAAATTCTCAATTACCCACAGCCACAGCCAGAGCCACAGGAGATAGGAGTGTCTCAATCTTCTACAAAAATGTTCATTGTGAACAAAAATGTTCAACTTCGCATTCCTTGTATTTTAAATACAAGGTACCCTCTTTCTTCCCAACAATCCTCTCTATCACACTTACCTTTTCAAGGTATAAAAGAGGAAAATGAATATCATTTTTTCTGCCATTAGTATTTTTCTCATCACCCTCAATTACCAACTAAAAAAAACCCTCCTATTTATACATCAAAACTCAGATCTGGGATCACTTCTTCAGGATGCCTTTCCTCGTTGCTGCTGCAGATTACAATTTTCCTTCAGTTAAGAAATATTTCTCTTGCCGGGCGCGGTGGCTCAAGCCTGTAATCCCAGCACTTTGGGAGGCCGAGGTGGGTGGATCACAAGGTCAAGAGATCAAGACCATCCTGGTCAACATGGTGAAACCCCGTCTCTACTAAAACTACAAAAAATTAGCTGGGCATGGTGGCGCGTGCCTGTAGTCCCAGCTACTCAGGAGGCTGAGGCAGGAGAATTGCCTGAACCCAGGAGGCGGAGGCTGCGGTGAGCCGAGATCGCGCCATTGCACTCCAGCCTGGGTAACGAAGAGCAAAACTCCACTCAAAAACAAACAAACAACAACTAAAAAAAAGCATAAAGAAAATAAATCTCTGTTTCGATTTTTTCTTTTCCTTCAGTTTCTTTCTTTTTTGATCCTTGAAATTCAAAACTATAAATTCTGCTTCAAAGTAGATCCTCTTCTTTGCCCCTATATGCAGATGAATGTAATAGATTTGTCATGCTTTGTTGAAACTTTATCTTGTTTACTAATAAAAGCATGATATTCTTGAGGAAAGAGACTATACCCTTTATATTAGAAATTCCAGGCAAACCTGGGATTCAATCCACATTTTACGTAAGAGGAACTTACGGGTCAATGGAAGTCAAAGATTAGACCCAGATTGAAGCCACTACTGAGAGGTATGACTGTAGCAAATGATATTGATGCCACACGGAAACTTTTTTTTACTGAGGCTTAAAACATGGTCAGAATTCAGGAAAGAGAGTTCAACCATAAAATTTCTATGACATTCCAAAATTGTCTGATGTGTATGGCATCTTTTTTTATTTTCTCTAATTTAAAAAAAAATCATATCTTTATAGTCCTAACAAGACCATAGTGATTCTGCAAGAGGATACGTGTAATTAGTGCTTGGACCTGTCACTTTTGTATATAGGTATGCATTCATGTATAAAACTACATATATATTACCATCCATTACCTAAGTTGAAAAATTCCATGAGCAAGCAACTTATTTCTCTACTTGAAGGATACAGAATATCCATTTTGCATGCTAAAAGTACTTAGATAAAAGCAAAGGATTCATGGGGAATAATTTTTCAATAAACTTCAACTTTGCATTCCTGTCCCTAAAGGATTGAGACATTTATCACATCCATAATACAGATTAAGACTAGAATTCCATGTCATTTATCAGGGTTCTTCAGACATTTATAATGACATTTATAATCCAGGTGAGTTAGATTAGTAGGAATTGATCACACAGACACCTGCTCCTAGCTATCAGTATTGTAAGAAAGATACAGAACTTAGCAGAAATTAGATGCCATGCAGAACTGAGCAGCTTGCCTTGACCTGAGAGTTTCCTCTCTCCTTGGTTCTTCCATGGGATACACAGCTGCCAATAATATTATTTGTGCAGTGTGGTCCTGTTGGAATCAAGTAAATATGCAAGCTCCTGCTCTTGGCTTCCTTTTCCACTACTGTTCACATGACCATACTGAGAACTTACACTGAAACACTATGAACTTCATTTAAGAGAATATTTACAAAGTGAAGCTGACTGGTTCTTGAAGCAAACCTAGATGTAGAGAGAGATGAAAACCATGTCAGGGCTCTAGTGCCTTGACATCTTAATCAATATTGCTCCCTAGCTTTCCTGTATCTTTGTATTTCTAAAGTCTATTCCTGAAGTTCTAACACCATGTTTAATCCAAAGAACAGAACCACAGATCCATTTACCTGCTCTCTCTCTCTCTCTCCTAAATAAAATGCAAAGAATCCATGCTTTTTCTACAGTGGTTTTCCTCATCTCCAGTTTTAGTTTTCAAATTATAATATGTACTTAAACAATTTGTTGGTTGCTTTGCTTTCTAGGCATCCATTGAGTAACTCAGTTGAATTCCACAAATACTCACTGGGCCCATGCCATAGGAAAGATGTTGACTTGGGAACTTAAAGTTTTCAAAGTTAGATCACATGTGGCTTTTGTTTCAGGATCAAGCATCTACACAAATAAAGCGGATCCCCCACAAAATAATCTTAGTTCCTCTTAGGAGCTCCCTACCTTTTTACTGCCCTTACTTTAGGGCTCATTTCTTTCCACACGACAAGTGAAATAGACACAATGGAGCTAGTGCACATCCATATCAGTGGTTCTCAATGATGGCTGTTTTGCCCCCTTGGAGACACTGAATAATGTCTGGAGGCATTTTCAATTGTCACAAGTTGGGAGAGTGGGAGAAGTTACTGGCATTACTGGCATCAAGCAAACCAGGAAAGTAGCTAATCCTACAAGGCATCGAGTGGTCCCCAGCAACAAAGAGTAATGAGGTCTAGAAACCCTGATTGATAGCTATACATCTGTAAGTAGGGTTCTAATACTATAGGTGTCTAATCCAAACTAAGCCCTTCTTCTCACTGCATGCCCAACATCTGACCCTTCTATCACCAAACATGCAGTCCAAAAAAGTGGGGTTTTTCTTGTTTCTTGTTTGTTTGTTTTTAACTCATCTTACATGTCAAGGTTTTATTTAAATCACCATTTTCAGAATCAGGTAGGCTCTACACTTTTATTTTTACTGTAACAGCCATGAAATCCAAGTGGGAACCGAATATACACTCAGGAAGATCAATTCTTCTCCTGGGTACTTGAATTTGACAACAAAGGAATGAGTGGTGATCCAGCACTTTATTAAATGCCTTCAGCAGGGATTTTCACAAAGCTGCCAATTTCATTTCCTGATAATCTTTATTATGAGACATTTTTCCTTTACTCAAGAAATCTTTCTATTTTTTCTGCTATCGGTCACTGGTTTTATCTGATGACTGCTATGTTTCATCTCTAAAAATAAGCATAAAGAAAATAAATCCCTGTTCCAATTTTTTCATTCAGTTTCTTTCTTTTTCTGTCATCCTTGAAATTGAAAATTATAAATTCTACTTCACAACATTCCCTGGAACAGACACATTCCTTTTCAACACTACTGCTAATACTCACTTCCAGGACACAACACCCCTGAGTTATTGAAAAGGTCTTCTATCAAGATTGCATTACTAATCTCTTCCATTCTGATCTCTGGATACTATTCCATAAGGGCAGAAACAATCTATATTCCCTGAAAATCCAACTCTGAATACATGCCTGGCACATAATTTGCACTCGATATTTCTCTGCCATAAAAAAGATGACTAAGTCAAACACATGTTCTATTATTTGTGTAACATTTATAAGCTATAAGATATTTGGATGTATGTTTAAGTTCGCTGGACCAGTTTCTTTTTTCTAAAATGGAATCTAAGCATTCTTACATCATTTTTTTATAGGTTTCATGCCTATGCAGTGCTTTGGTCCAGGAAATGTACTCTATAAATGCTATCCCTTTATTGCATTTTTCTCATACCATAGTTTTGAATTTTCATCTAATAATGGGTTTTCAAATACCCATACTTATTTTTACTGAAATGCTGATTTTATCAGACTTCAATGTGATAACTTTGTAATTTAAAGGAGGTTGATCCATGTTATATATATATATATATATATATATATATATATACACTCTAATTTAAATTTTTTCTAGGATGAAGAAGCAAAACCCCACAGACAATAAATTACCCTCCCAGTAGCTTTTGTACACCCT